CTGTTTGGTTATTAACTTTTCAAAATCATAATTGAGCGTTCAAATTAAAAAAGAAAAGAAAATTTTGACATAGCCTTCAAATTGCAATTTTGTATGTCAAGTTCTTGTGTTTCTAAATTGATCATAATTAGTCAACTTTTTCCTTTAAATTAAAAAAATCAGAAAAAATCCACTAATTTCCATCATATTAAAAAAAAACTGACATAGCCTTCAAATTGCAATTTTGTTTTCCATGTTCTTGTGTTTCTAAAATTGAGCGTAATTGATCAACTGTTTCCTTTAAATTAAAAAAAATCAAAAAACATCCCATATGAAAAAAATTTAGTATCTTGTAATTTTCGTGAGTTATGAATATACAACATGGTGTTAAAAGTATAAGATGAAATGAATTTGGATTGATCAAATTACACGTCATTAGTCCTCTTTCTTAAGTTAACCAAAAATTGCAAATTGTTGATCGGTGTTCTGTACATGTGAATACAGGAATCAGACATATCTGCAACTTATGTTAACTACATCAATATTCCATAAGAAAAATTATTTCAATATAGTAATAACTACAGCACTAGTCAATGGAACAACCCATTATTTAGTTAAAATTGTAGCATTATTGCAATCTCATTTTTGTCCTTTCTGTCTCTGTTTTCTTTTTAATGTTATCTTCTTAATAACCAGACAATATTGAATGAATTTGAATTTTAGTAGGTTATGAAATTTTTACCAATTTCATTGCTTGTAATGTTCTTGTATGATATAGATTATCATGTCAAATTAAACATCTTCATGTTAAATTGATTGACTCGATAATAATTCATTCCTAGGTTATATCTTTATTTGTTACTTATCTCATCTTCTACTTCTTTCCTTACTTCGCTATTCAATTTGAAAACAGTCACTTTGAAGGAAGTATACCTCACTCTTATGTGGGAAATAGGAATGTACATTTGTTTATTTGTGTAATATAGCATTGTACTTTCATATTCTTTTGCTTATTTACGCATTTTATGTTGAAAATCTATCCATTTATATCATTGAACTTACAATTTTTTGTTATTTTTACCAAATTTCAGGATCATGAGCGGATGTCATCAACCATCAAACATTGACACAGAAATAACAACTGTTGCTAGCTATTCTAATGTAGATAAGAAACTATATAGGAGAATAGCTTTATAAACTAGAAGAAAAAGAATGGTAATTGTGATGCTATAATTGACAAGTTAGATATGGTTAATGATGCTCATGCATATAAGAAAAGATATAGAAAAGAAGCTCTAATAAAATGGAAAAAGAAGAAATTAAAGAATACTTGTCATACAAATGTAACAATAAACAACACAAACGAAAAACTGTGTGATACCATACAAAAAAGCCTATACCACACAAATAAAAACATAACTAATGAAAGTGAAAGACTCAACAAATGAAAACTTAGAAATCTAGGTCCACCAATTGAGAAATCAAATAATATAGACAAGAAAAATAGCAATAGGAAAGGCAAGAATCTATTGCAACAAGTAATTTTATCTGCTGATGTTCTTCCAGTGGTCATGTGTTGTTCTTATTGTCATGCTGTGAAATTTTATTCAGAAACATCAAATTTCTGTTGTCTAGAAGGTCGTATTGTATCATCCAGTAATGAACTCCCACAAGTCATGCAAAATTTATTGACAGCTAATTCTGAAGAAGCAAAATCGTTTAGAACATATATTAGAACATATGATAATACATTTGCATTCACATCATATAGTGTTACAGCTGATAAAAACCTTACAAGACGAAATATGGGTATTTACACTTTTAGAGTGCAAGGACAGGTATACCACTTCATGAACAATCTACAACCTAAAGAGAAAGAAGCCAAATCCCTTCAATTATATTTTCACGATACGAACAATGAAATTGAAAATCGGTTAACATCATCCCCAAGATTATCTAAACACTTAATTGCAACATGTATAAGTTATCTGGTGGATAATCCATATGCACTTTTTTTAGAAATTTAAGAGAAATTTCATGTTTGAATGAATATAATATTGTTCTTAAAACTATTCCAGGACAAGATCAACGTGTATATAACAAACCAGAGGTTTCACAAGTTGCAGCATTATGGGTTGAGGGTGAAGAGAACGGTGAACATGGTCGTAGAAATATACAAGTAAGAACACACAGTGACGAACCAAAGAGTGTTGAGTATTATTATGGTTGTTATGATCCTTTACAATACCCTCTAATGTTTCCATATGGAGAACTTGGCTGCCATCAACACATTCCAAAAAAAAAGTCCCACTGAACGAGGAAATAGTAAAACAGTTACATGTTCCGCCGAAAAGCAAATCTCGCCATCGGGTATTATAAATGTTGATGACTTATTAAATATGGAAGAAATAGGTAAGGAAATACCCTTAATGTATTTGTAAAATATCTAAATTGAAACTAATAGAATTGTTTTTTTCAGTTATGGGAAAATCTTTGGAGAATACAAAATATGTTTCTGTACGAGAATATTATACATATAAACTTCAAATACGTTCACATGATAAATCATGTTGGTTGCTTTTTGGTAGATTATTACAACAATATATAGTTGATAGTTATATAAAATTACAAACACAAAGGTTAGCTTTTTATAGAAATCAACAACAAGAGTTAAGACAAGAGTTCCTTCAAGGAGTGGTAGATGCTATGGCAAGTGGTGAAACAAGCGCATCAGCTATTGGCCAACGAGTGATTTTACCAGCAAATTTTATTGGTGGTCCAAGGAACATGAGAAGAAAATACATTGATGCTATGGCATTAGTATAAAAGTTTTGTAAGCCTGACATTTTTGTAACATTAACCTGTAACCCTAATTGGCCAGAAATCAAACAACACATGATGTGTCACGAGGAAACACAAAATAGAGCAGATTTAATTGTTAGAGTCTTTCCATGCGAAACTTGAGCAATTTAAGAAAAAAATTTAAAAATGAGATTTTTGGTAAGGTTGTTGCATATACTTATGTTGTGGAGTTTCAAAAAAGAGGACTACCACATGCTCATTTTTTACTTATACTTGGACCACAACATAAGATGTACCATGCATAAGAGTATGATGAGATAGTTTCAGCCGAAATACCACATGAAAATTCAAATCCTCATCTATTTAGAATGGTCGTAAAACATATGATTCATGGTCTATGTGGTGATCTTAATCCAAAAAATGTTTGATTGAAAAAAAAAAGGGTATTGTAAGAATTTTTTTTCCCAAAGCATTTTGTGAGGTAACAACACAAGATAATGATGCTTACCCTGCATACAGAAGACGTGACAATGGGGTTAAAGTTACAGTTAGAGGTGCTACGCTAGATAATAGATGGGTTGTTCCATACAATCCATAGTTACTATGTAAGTTTGATTGTCACATTAATATAGAAATATGCTCTACAATAAAGGCTCTGAAATACATATATAAGTATATATGCAAAGGATGTGACAAAATAAGTTTTTCCGTTACAGAAGATGATCATCCAACGGTCATAAACGAAATTGATCAATTTCAAGCAGGTAGGTGGATATCACCTTCAGAGGGAGCTTGGAGAATTTTTAGATTTTCATTAGGTGAAATCAAACCAGCAGTCATTTATTTGCCTTTACATTTAGAAAATTATCAACCAATAACATTCAAAAAGAAAGAACAACTGGCAAATATAATAGACAATTTAGTAAGAGAAAAACTACGTTGACCGAATTTTTTTTTTCAGAATAGTACAGATAGATATACACAACATCTTAATCTGAAATATGTAGAATTTCCTGACCATTTTGTATGGAAACCAGACAAGAAAATTTGGTTACCTAGACAAACTAAGAAGTCAATAGGACGCATTGTGGTGGCACATCCAAGTGAAGGTGAAAGGTATTATTTGAGAATATTGTTATCTAAAATTCGATGTCCAAAGTCGTACGATGATCTTAAACTTTGTAATGGACAAAAAGTTGACACCTATCGCGTATCTGTATTATTACGAGGATATTTACTTGATGATAATAGCCAACAATTATGCATGCAAGAGGCATCAAACTTCCACATGCCCTATGAATTGCGAAGACTTTTTGCTACTTTACTTATGTTTACAAATCTAAACAATCCATGTAAATTATGGCGATCGTTTGAAGATCACATGCTACAAGATTTTAAACAGTGCAATAATTATTCATTACCTGAAGCAAAGCGCCGCGCATTTAAGCAAATTAACACGTTTCTACAGTCAAATGGAAAACAACTCTCAGATTACAATATATTGCCAAATGAGATATCTTATGCTGAATTAGAAGATGAAACAAGAGAAATAACAATAGAAATAAGTATTATTGTACCAAAAAGCGATCGAAAAGCAATACAAACTCTAAATGAAAAACAAAAGCTTACTTTTGATACGATAATTGGAAAAGTAGAAAATAACATAAGTGGTGTGTTTTTTATTGACGGTCCAGGTGGTACAGGGAAAACTTACATGTATAGAGCATTGTTAGCAAACATCATATTGAAAGGACATATAGCTTTAGCTACAGCAACATTAGGTATTGCAGCATCATTACTATAGGACAAGACATTCCAGGTTTAAAATTCCATTAGATTTAACAGATAGATCAAATTGTAGGATAAGTAAACAATGTGCACTGGGTATATTGATTAAAATTTGTTAATTATTTTTATGGGATGAAGCCTCAATGGCTAAACGCTCAGCAATAGAAGCTCTAGATGATCTTTTACAACCACTTGGGTTGTGGTGACTTGGTAAGGCATGTGGAAGATATGGTGGATAACCTATTGACCCATGTTCAAATCCTGGCACTACTCAACCCTTGTGGCCATGGAGGTTCGCCTGCAGTGACTCCAGGGCATGAGGCAAAGCCTCATGTTTGTAGCGGGGGATTAGTCGATGCGCGAAAGCTGGCCCGGAAACCCTCGTTAGGGAACTTCCCTTTCCAAAAATAGATGATCTTTTAAGTGATCTTATGCAAAAGGATGAACTTTTTGGTGGAAAAGTAGTTGTACTTGGTGGTGATTTTAGACAAACATTGCCAGTTGTTCCCAATGGAAGCAAACATGATACAATTGCTGCTTTTTTGACTAACTCTTACCTGTGGCGAACACTGTGTCTTCTACAATTAGATGAAAACATGAGGGCGTTACTAGATCCAATTTTTACAGACTTTCTTCTACGATTAGGTGATAGTAATGAAAATTCAGATGAGGATGATGTTACTCTTCCAAAACAAATTGTTATAGAAGAAAGTGAAGAATCAAAAGGATTACTTACTCTTATTGAATATGTTTACCCAAATATTTCTCAACATTACACAATTATACCTTCCTCAATGAACCGAGCTATCTTGACAACGAAAAATGCTTTTGTTGATCAGATCAATGAAATGTTAATACAAAAATTCCAAGGTGAGGAGAAAGAGTATATTAGTTTCGATGAAACCCTTTATCCAAATGACCAAGGTTATTATGAGGATCTTCTGCATTCTTTAACACCAAATGGAATGCCACCACATAGACTAATTTTAAAGCAAAATGCACCTATAATATTACTGAGGAACATGAATCCAATAGAAGGATTGTGTAATGGTACAAGACTCTTTTGCAAGAACTTTAATAGGAATGTTATCCGGGCAAAGATAGCATTTGGTGATTATGCTGGGAAAGAGGTGTTTATTCATAGAATTCCATTACAACCAGCTACAGGAGAAGGCTACACAGTGCCATTCAAAAGAACACAATTTCCAATCAAACTATGCTTTGCGATGACTATAAATAAATCACAAGGACAAACACTAGACATTGTGGGCGTATACCTTAAAGAACCTATATTTTCACATGGACAACTATACGTTGCCATGTCCCGTGCTAGAAGAATTGAAAGTGTTAAAGTGGTTATAAAAAAATCAGAAAAAAAATCCAAATTGCAAAAAGACAAAAAATATTGTATATCAAGAAGTATTACAATGTTCTAAACACAACTAAAGGTATATCTACAAAGAAAACTCATGTTACATACAACAGGCTTAATCAGGTAATGATAATTTCTTGTTTTCTTTAAAAACTATGAAATGGACAACAAAGTAAGTATTTTGTGAATGTATAATAATTACATGATGTTCTTACACATGTCTCCTTCAAATCTTATGTTGGCATGTGAGCTAATGTGGCATGGGTGTCCACTGAGGAAGGTCTATTACATTTGTTGTCATTCTCCTATTGGTAACGCATTTTTAACTTAATTTGCTTAATACTGGTCACTTTTTTCAGGATTTTTCCTAAGTGTAAGTCAGCCATTTCATTTTTTATTTCCTCGTTAATTTTAGATACTTAAAGAATGTCACACCCCCAAACCAGAACGACGGAAACGTTCGGGGGCGGAGGACGTCATGTACAGTATCATAACAATGCATAATAGTAAAACAAGCAACAACATCATCCATTGCATTAATAGTATAATTTTAATACAAGTGTATTCTGTAGTTTATAAGACACCAAAATATGAATCAAAATAAAAGACGAGTCTTGAACGTGCTCCGTCTTCTCAAAACCTGGTCATCGGTACCTGTCTACTGGTGACCTGAGAATACAAGTTATTTTGAAAGCGTAGATCAGCATTAAAACTGGTGAGTTCATAAGTATTTAATGTCATTATTTGTATAAGTTTGAAGAAAGTGTTTGTAAATGTTTGATGCAAAAGTTTGTAAGTGTTTGTTGTAAATGTTTGAATACTTCCTAGAAAATCCTATATTTTCTACTAAAGTAGTCTTCTCCCAAGAACCGACTGTTTTGCAAGTTTGTTCTTTTGGAAAAGTGAGTGTTTTTCCCAAGTATGACTATCATTACCAAAAATATAGTTTACATTACCGATTATGTGAGAAGATCACAAAATAAATGTAATGGGAAAATGATTATGTACAGTAGTGTTGTGTATAAGTAACTACAGATGTACTAACTACCTTAAACCTGTTTGTTTAATTAAAGTAAAATGTGATGAGATTATAACCATACTTGATTGACTAGTAAAACACGACGTTCGAGACATCGAAATGGTATGACATTCGTCACCTGTAGACCTGCAGGTCCCATTGTAGCTAGCAGCAAGGTGTAGGATGGTCAATCCCATATAGATCTATACACAAATTCATGCTCTCCCTCCAGGAGACTCTGGTTATAAAACGTGACACGACAGTATATTGTCGCGCCATGAAGTAGTGGCTCACATAAACGTCATCTTGTTATTGTATTAGTGTACTATGCTCTCTCTGTTTCTAGTATATAATATGTTCTCTCTGTTCTAGTGTATAGTATGTTCTCTCTGTTTCTCATTATAGTATGTTTGAACTGACTCATGTATGAACTGACTCTTATATGTTTCATTGTTCTAGAAATAGTAAATAATGACTTCCTAAACTATACCTATTATAGTTTACTAGTAAAGTTGTTTGAATGACTGATTATGTTTAAACACCTTTGCTACCCAAAGGTATTGAACTGAAAGAAAGAACTTTTATATCTATATACATATACATAATATATAACTAAGATTCAAAAGACATTCGGACAAACAACCGAATACCCTAAGTCCACAACCAAACAAGGAACAGGAAATAAGGCGAGTTATCAGTCCTAAGCCCTTTCAACCTTATTTATATAACTATATCCATATAGACATGATTTTGACAATATATAAGTTTAAAAGACTTTAATAAAGAATTTAACATATAAAAGAGTTTTAACCATTTGAATGTCTATAGATGACTTGATGTCAGTTTATAAAAAGGGTTTTTGAAACAGTTTGATAACACAATTTTGAAGGATAAGAAATCTACTTGATTGGTAGTTATTAATCTGTGACAACTCAAAATTTCTATCTTGTACAACCATTCACTTCAATCTAAGTCAGACTTATTTCTGCTAACTTTTAGCACTGTTTAGAGTCTATTTGAGTGTTCTAAAGCCTAGTACCTTCAAGAGGTAATTATAGGAAGTATACTCTAGAGTTAAATGTGCAACATTTAAGTCTCAAAACTCCAAGAGTTTGGAGTTTACGGCCATAAAATGGAGTTTACGGCCGTAAACTCTAAGGTATAAATATGACACTTAGCCATTTTAGTCATTTTTACCATTTTCAAGCCTAGAAGTCATTCTCTCTCAAGTATCATCCGATTTTTCACTAAGATCTTCAACTTTGTAAGTGATTCTTTCCTTGATTAGTTGATATACTTCAATATCTAGTGATTGTACATGATTTCATCCACGAAATCTCTTCATTTTGATAGATCTTCAAGTGTTCTTCATTTCACCACGAACACCAAGAACACACACTAGTGGTCTTGGACCTTAAAAACCCTTACAAGCTTCTATATTGTAAGTACTCTTGCCTTAGCTTGTTATATGCTTGAATCACTTAGTTTACACCTAGAAAACATCAAGAAAACAAGATCAAAACGTGTTTACGGCCAAGGCAATCTCCTTGGGCCGTAAACCCTAATTAAGGGTGAAAATGAGCCCTAATCCCTTCCAAAGCCTTGGAACCAAGTCTAGAATACTTCCAAGAAGTGTATAGGACCTTAAACAACAAGAGAATCAAGAACATATGGTGTTTACGGCCAAGGCAATCACCTTGGGCCGTAAACCCTAAAAAGTGGTGCATTTGTGCCACCATTCCTTCCTAAGGCTTAGACTTGAACATAGAACACTTCATTATGACTTATAAGACCTTATAACACAACTTGGTACAAATTACCATGAGTTTACGGCCGTAAACTCATGGGGGTTTACCCCTTGGCCGTAAACTCATGTGATGCATCCATGTTGGCCATAAACTCCAATGAGAGGCCATACTTCCCTTAGATGCAACCCTTTGGTACTTCTAGAACTTGAATTAGAGTGTTATCCATGTCCTAGGGTGTCTTTACTTACATAATTAGTTGTTAATTGACTAATTAGATACATATATGTGTCATTATATGTTAAATAGGATCTGTGTGTGTGCTCAAGTCTTCACTTGACACTTAGCATCCTATACCATCCGTTCATCCAAACCACTCACTACAGGTGAGTTCATACCCCTTAATCAACCTTTTAAATGATTTTAAATGCTTTTATGGGGGGAATACAAGTTGAACTATTATATTTATTATATCGATCACATGTGATTAATAACTACCAAACAAGTGGATTTTCTTACTTTTCAAACTGTGTTATCAAACAAACTACTTCAAATCGTTTTACAAACTCTTACATGTTAAATACTTTGATTAAACTCTTTCAAACTTATATTCTGTCAAATGTGTATCTATATAGATATAATTATATAAGTAGGATTGAAAGGACTTAGGACTGATAGATCACCTTACTTCCTGTTCCTTGTTTGGCTGTGGACTTAGGGTATCGGTTGTTTGTCCGAAGGTCGTTTGAATCTTAGTTATATATTATGTATATAGATATAGATATAAAAGTTCCTTCTTTCAGTTCAATCCCTTTGGGTAGCAAGGGTATACAATCATGTTCATTCATACAAACAACATTACTAGTAAACTATAATAGGTATAGTTTAGGAAGTTACTAATACTATTACAAGAACAATGAAACATACAAAGAGTCAGTTCATACATGAGTCAATACATACTATTATGAGAAACTAAGAGAACATACATACATACTAGACAGAGAGAACATACAATACAGCTAGTACATACTATACATTATACAAGAGAACATACCATTGTGAGAAACTAAGAGAACATACATACATACTAGACAGAGAGAACATACAATACAGCTAGTACATACATTACATATACAAGTATACAATAACATAAATGTGAACCATCGTTCGTGGCATGGCATCACCTGTCATGGCTCGATTTGTAGCCGGAATCTCCTAGAGGGAGAGCGTGAATTTGTGTATAGATCTATACTGGATTGACTATCCTACACCTTGCTGTTCGCTACAGTGGGACTTGCAAGTCTACGGGTGCCAAATGTCATACCTTCCGACGTCTTTCATCGTCGTGTTATTAGTCGATAGTATGGTACAATCAGGTCACATCATACCTTAAATATCAATTGGTTTAAGGTAGAAAGTACAGCAGTAGTTACTATAATACAACACTATAGTACTTTATTATTTCCCCATTGCATTCACATTGTGATCTTTTCACATAAAAGGTAATGTAAAACTATATTTTTGGTTAATGATAGTCACACTTGGGAAAATATACACTCTTACAAGAAACAAACATACATTTCATTTGATGCCTTGGTAGAAGGCTACGTTTAGTAGAAAATATAGGATTTTCTAGGAGATTCAAACATTTACAAACATTTACAAACTTATACATCAAGTACTTACTAACATTTTCATACAAACAATGACACTAAAATGCTTATGAACTCACCAGCTTTAAAGCTGATAAACTCTTTCAAAATAACTTGTATTCTCAGGTCATCCATAGACAGGTACCGATGCCAGGTTTTGAGAAGATGGAGCTCGTTCAAGACTCATCTCTTATTTTTGATTTACATTTTTGGTGTCTTATAAACTTCACAGAACACACTTGTATGAAATTATATTATTAATGCAATGGATGATGTTGCTGCTTGTTTACTACTATGCTTTGTTGTGATACTGTACATGACGTCCTCCACCCCCGAAGGATTCCGTCGTTCCGGTTTTGGGGTGTGACAGATTGGTATCAGAGCATTGTTTATAGTGAATCAAGTATATCAACCCATAAAATATATACAAACTATAAACACAACGGGATTAAAATACTCTGACCAAGAGTTTATACTTTTAAATAATAAAATATTTAACTAAGTATACATACCTGCATTCATACTAAAATCAGTGTCACTAGGACAGAACAAAAGTATTACGATTGTTGGGCAACACAATTAGACTTAGAGACATATAGTCAACCCTGGGAATGATATAGCCTGATCAACTATATTTTCCGAGGAGTGA